TTCCGAATACAACTTTACGATACACTTATTTCCAACAATCGCTCTATAACAAACGCTATATCAACGAACGTGTTCAATAATACTCTCTGACTGCAGATCAATTACTCACTGTCTACACACACATTACCTCCCCGTCACGTTGTCTCCCTCTTTTATATACCAGACTACCCTACATCTAGTAAATGCTAGAGCATTCGCCAAAGTACGGGATAGTTCTAGAAAGTAGAGGGCGTGAGAATAGTCATGTGATCTCGATGACGCAACATAATGTTCGTTAGTTAGTGTTTGTTTTAGTGCGAATGTTGAAATTTCGTGTATCATAAAGTTATTGTTGCGTCAGCGAGGCCACGTGACTAGTGTGACGCCACCTATTTTCTAGAAGTATCTTCTTCCATCGTGAATGCCCTAGCATTTACTGGATATATGTTTTTCTGTTATAGAAATAAGACCCTCACAAAGTGACGGGATAATGTGTGTGTAGACAGTGAATAATTGATCTGCAGTCAGAGAGTATAATTGAAGTTAAGCATGTTCGCTGTTATAGCGTTTGTTTTAGCGCGATAGTTGAAATTAAGTGTATCGTAAAGTTATATTCGGAAATAATAAAACAGTTTTATTAAGTAAGGACTTGTGTCGCTAAAGTTTCGTCGGAACGAAGTTACGGAAAATTAATTAACAAACGGAGACGTAACAAATTGGTGTCAGAGAGTGGGATAATAAAAAAATGGAAACGAGAGGCGGAAAATCAAACTACAACCTAGCAGACTTAATGGCAGCAATACAAGAACAGCAAAAGAAACAAGAAGAACGGGAAGAGAAATTACAACAGTTGTTAGAGGAAAAAGAAAAGAAACAAGAATAACGAGAAGAGAAATTACAACAGTTGTTAGAGGAAAAAGAAAAGAAACAAGAAGAACGAGAAGAGAAATTACAGCAATGGTTGGAGGAAAAAGAAAAGAAACAAGAAGAGAGACAACAGCAGTTGCAAGAAAACCTGCAACAGTGGCAGCTCGAACAACAAAATAAACAAGAAGAGAGATTACAGCAGCTGTTAGAGGAAAAAGAAAAGAAACAGGAAGAGAGATTACAGCAGTTGTTGGACGAGAAAGAAAATAAACAAGAAGAATGAGAAAAGAAACAAGAAGAGAGACAACAACAGTGGCAACTGGAACAAGTAAGGAAACAAGAAGTACAAACGGAAAACATTAGTAAAGTTAAAGGCGAATTAGATACGTCAAAGGACGACTTTTTGTCTTTTACACAAAGAGGATACATTGACCATCGACTTAATCAGCCCCAGACAATGGCAAGCCCCTTACAGAACCCGCAGCTAAACCCTAATGCAGACATATTCAGTCCCGTTAGAAGTCACATCCCAGATATGAATGTCAGTACCAGGAGTGATCCAGTACGAAGGAAGCCACAGGAATTTGATGGGAAGGCACTGTGGGAAACGTATAGAGCACAATTTGAGCTACTGGCAGAGATGAATAGATGGACAGAGGAGCAGAAAGCAGTATATCTGGCAACTAGCTTGAAAGAACAACCTCTGGAAATACTTGGACAGTTATCAACAGACGACAGACACAACTATAGAGCACTGGTAGCGGCTCTAGAACTCAGGTACAGAACCCAAAATCAGTCAGAAGTCTAAAGGGCTAGGTTCAGGACGAGAGTCCGTGCTAAAGGGGAGAGCCTGCAAGAGCTGGCTCAAGACTTGGAAAGCATGGCACACAAGACCTACCCAACTGCAACACCCGATCTCCTCATGTTGTTGCTGAGGGATCAGTTCGTAGATGCCTTGGACAGTCCACAACTTAAGACACAAGTGAAGCAAGCACACCGCTCTACCACGCAGGATGGAATGGCCAGAGCTCTAGAATTTGAATCCTACATTAAGTCCAGCACAGAGGTACCAAGGTTTGTACAGTCATCTGGATTCAAGGCCAGAAAAAGTCGGCTTTCAGAGAGGTTTGAGGGACTTTGCTGGCACTGTAACAAACCTGGGCACAAGAGAGCTCAATGCTGGAAACTTCAACACAGGGGAGACGATACAGCAGTAAAGGCTGCTACCCAGAAAGGCTGTTGGAACTGTGGGGAGCAAGGATATCTGAGGAGCCAGTGGAAGAAAAATACCACCGATAAGTCAGCTTCGGGAAACCAGTAGTGGTTGGTGCTATGGGACGCCCACCAACCTCCATCGTGAATGTCCCAACAGCTAAGTGTAAAATGGCAAGTACACATAGTATCTACGTGACAGGGAAGCTGGATGGCCAAAGGTGCAACTTTGTCATAGATTCTGCATCTCAGCAGACCCTTGTGAGCATCAAGGTGCTGGATAACAAAGGAGTACCAGAAGCTGTACAGAAGGTCTGTGGTGTGACAGGACATTCTGCAAGGTTTTGGGGACCAGTTTGGGTAACTATCGAGCTCTTGGGCATGAAAAACAGACAGAAAGTATATTTGACTGACCTCTATAAGAAGAGCATAGTCCATTTGTCATCATCACAAACTCTTCAGG